TCCCTCTGTTGGAGGTTCCCTCTTTTCCTGAGCAACCCTGATGATTGCCCCACTCTGCCTGCTTGTGCCCTTCAGGCCACAAGCCAGGTCAGACAGAGTGGCATCCCCAGACTGCCAATTATGGCTGCAGAGGAGGCTGGCTCATCCTGGAGTGCTGGCCTCATGGGACAACCAGTTCCTCTTGGGGAAGGGAGCAGGAATGGAAGCGCTAAGGTAGTTGGCCTCAAATCCACCTTGGGGAAGACGGAGCTAGAGCTCTCCTGGTGACCCACAGTCACCCAACTTTGTGCAGTCTGGGCTCACAGGCCGACCAGGCTGAGAATACCCTACCCCTCCTTCCACACACCTGTGGTCAGGCCCTGGCCTTCTGCGAAGACTTTGTGATCACTTGGGACTTTCCCTGCTGTAAGCCTGCTGTCATGCATCCAGGATGGCTCCCTCTTGGCCACCCACCGGCCTCTCAGTCAGGTAAATGCATGGCAGCATTGGTGGAGCTGTGTTCTTGGCCTCGCCAGTCTGGGCAATGAACGGAGTCCTGCTGTGTTTGAGGCTCTGCCACCACCAACAGGTCATTTGACCCTGCAGGCCTATCATGATCACAATGGCAATAGTTAAGGGCTAACAGTGGAGTAAGCTAGTAACAAGGTAAGGTCATAACACCTTCACAGCTACTGCTGGGCGGCAGGGCTGGGGTTGAGGCTGGGCTCATCACCCCTCCATAGTCTTGGTGCCCTACTTTATAGGCAATCTCAAGTTTGCAGAGGTCTGGGCTCAGCTTTGGGAGGCTGTGGTGGTCACAGAGCTTGTGAGCAGTGGAGCTGTGACCTCGGCCAGGAAGCCCCCCGTGCCACTCCTGGCCTCTCACTCTAGCATATTCCAGGGCAGCATGGTGAGCCCTTTTTTGAGCTGGATTCTTGGAAAGACTGCCTGCCTGCTCCGTTGGCGAGTCCTGTGGCCAGGAGGGGCTGTCCCCGGGCACGGGCTCTACCTGTGTACTCGGGAAAGCAGATGGTTAGCGGGGACTTCTTGATCTTCTCCTCAAATATGTCTTTCTTGTTCAGGAACAAGATGATGGACGTGTCTGTGAACCACTTGTTGTTGCAGATGCTGTCAAAAAGCTTCAGAGATTCGTGCATGCGGTTCTGCAACAGAGCGGAGAGGCGAGTGAGGGGCGGTGGCACGCAGGGCTCTGACCCCCCACGGATGCCAAGGACACAGCAGAACAAGCAGGGAAGGTCCATCAAGGTGGCCGAACACACCACCAGGGATGGAGACAGAAGGACCCACAAGGACAGACAGGACGTGGTCCCTGCTTCATCACATATGCAGGCAGGGTGGGGGGAGCAGGGCCAGGTGGGTCACTGCGTTGCTGCCCTCTTCCAGCCCCTTCCAAAGACAGCTGCCCCAGGGACAGGACGGTGAGGTCACTGAAGAGGCTCCAGTTCCGGGAGGGGGCATGCACCATGCATGCAGAGGGCAGGGCTGAGACCACCATCGACATGTCTATGCAGAATCGCAGGTCATGCAGATTTCTCTACCGGGGTATCATTTGGTTTTGCCAGCGAGGTTGGGAGGGAACACACATTCAGTTGAGAAACATTAACCAAGGACCCAAAAGATCCTCGAATTAATCTAGAGTTGGAAGCAGACACTGGGGGGACAGCATCTCGGGGGTGATCTTGCTGTGGCCTTGGTATAGCTGGGTGAATTGGTTGGATGGCAGGGCCACTCTCAGGCTCAGGCTTGGGGGACACTAGTTGTCAAGGCTGATTTCTTAGTACAGGGGCCAGAAGAAGCCCAAGAGGGACTACAGCCAGATTAAAACAGAGGCAGATCATGAGCCGAGACAAAGAGAGGGAAGAAACCCTGAGAAATGGGTTCAAGCCATCTCGGGCCAGGAAGCCCAGGTCTTCCCAGGCAGAGGGGGGCCTGTGCTGGCTCACAGAGGCCAAGGCCATCCTGGGACCAAGGACTATGTGGCCAGAGAGGGAAGACCCTGGGCAGACAGTATGGACCCAGCTCCAGGGCTTGGGAGGACTGTAGGGGTGGGGCTGGGTGGGCCAGCAGTCACAGCAAAGTCACCCAGCATGCCCTGAGAAGCAGCTGCTTTCAACTCGAAGGTGGTGAATTCTGCTGGAAGGAGGTGCTTCCGTACCTGCTGGGCTCGGAGGGTCTCTCCCCATCTGCTCATGCCTCAGGCCTTGGTTTGGCAAGGTTAGGCCCACGTAGGCGGTGATGGCGATAGTGGTGGTCAAGTTGTGGCCGCCTGAGGCCCAGCTGGGGGTGCTGAGAGCCGGTACGAGGACTGGATGAGGTCTTGGGCTCCCAGGGTGTGGCAGGCAGGGTGGCTGGGGTCCAGTAGGCAGCAGCCACTAGCCCTGGGGCCCTCCTGGCCAAGCTCCAGGAGGGAGCTGCCTCCCTGCACTTTGGCAGTGAGCAATCCCAACTCCTTCCCAGAGCAGAGAGGGAAGTACAGAGCTGATGGGATGAGGGAAGCTGAAGGGCTGGGTCACTGATGCCTATTGCTGGTCGCCCTGGGCATAGCTTCCTGGTCCTGTAACCTGTCCTGCAGCTCCAGCACAGAGAGGAGGAGTAGCAGATGCCTATGGGCAGGACCTCTTGTGGCTGTCAGTTCTGAGGTCCTCTTGACCACCTGCAGGGATGGTCTGTTCTCATTGCTGTTACAGAGGAGGAGGAGGGAAAGGGAGGCAACTGTTCGTGATTACTCAACTGGAGGGGAAGCAGACACTATGGGACAGTGTCTCGGGGTGATTGGTGCGAGACCCTGGACCAGCCGTGTCTCAGCCCTGAGCTGCCCGACTGCACACATGAGCCCTGGACACAGGTATTGCTTGGTTCTACCGTGATGGCATGGCTCTTGTTGCTACCACAGCAATGCGTCACTTCTGTGGGCTGTGGTCAAGTTGTAACCCAGTTCCCCTCCCTGGAGGGTCTATGGAAGCCAGCTTTGAGGCGGGTGGGACCCAGGAAGAGCTGATCACATGCTTTTACTTCCGCGACCCTCCTTATACCAAGCCCTTGTGGAAGGAGGGAGGAAGGAGGTGAGGGTGGCAGTGGTAAGCAGAGGAAAATGCAGAGGAAACCAGAGTGGAAATGCCTCAGAATAGAGGCACTGCTCAGTGTGCAGGTGGTGGCTGGCCTGGAGAGGAAGGGCAGATGGAGAAGGCTGCTACAGGATTAAATCTGGCCCCTCTTTCTGCCCCCACATTCCCCAGAGACCCTACCCAGATGTTCCTTTGTGTCTATACAATGTTCCAGAGCCAAGTAGCAGCCCAGTCTAATGACTGACGGGACAGCATGGAGGTTTAAGTTATTTGTGCACCTGACAGGCAGGCTTGGCCCAGAGGAGAGGCAGTGCTCCAGCGAGCAGGGCATCTCAGTCCTACCCCTGCAGCTCCTCCACTGTCTCTGAAGCCCAGGCTGAAGGCAGCATCACCTGCTGAGATCCCAGGGCAGCTGAGGGGTCGGTGAGCAGGGTTTCCATCTACACAGTCAACCCACTGAGCAGAACGACGTGCTGAGAGGTCGGTCACTGCGCACTGCTGGGACCCCAGTGTCCAATCCTTAGCAGTCCCCCACTCTGCCCTGGTCATGGGCAAGGGGTAAGCTGGTGTCTCTGACACCACTGCCAGCAGCAGACGCTGAGAATAACGGCGGCTGGAACTCCACTCGGGGCATGCCAGCACATGGTGCAGGTCCGAATCACCCACCTGGCTGGTGGCCAGGCCCCCATCTGCCACATGCCTCATCACTGTGTAGCCCTGCGAGACGGCAGCTCTGCCTCACCACGGTACTACACACGGCGGCTCACACCCACACCAAAGCCCATCCCATCTTGGCGGCAACCCCGTGGGAACAGCAGGGCCAGGACCGATGAGGACACTGAGAGTCAGAGAGACAAGAGAGGCCTGCAACACCCAGCATGGTGGCAGGCTCCAGCTCACACCCTCAGTGCTGACCCTGAGATGCTGTGGGCCAGAGGGTCTCGGCATGCTCCGGAAGGAAGGAGAAGCCAGATGCCAGGGCGTGGTCCCTGAGGATGTACACTCTCCTCACTCCAGCACCACTGGGTAGCCCCGGCTTTGTGTGGTGCGGCCCAGATTGGGGCTGCTCAGTGATCCATTCAAGCAACTACCGGCGACAAAACCATTACCAACGGCGCTACTTTGCCAGAAACAGTTCCAAGTGCCAGGTGTGTTACCTCTTCTACTGCCAACAGTGCCGCTGCTTCCCTCAACACACACACACACGCACGTGCACGCACGCACACACACAGGTGAGACTACCATTACCTCCCCTGCACAGGTGATCATGGCAAAAGCAAAAAGGGGGCTTCCTACACATGGCAGCTGGCTAGCAAGTGGCAGAACTGGGGTGAGCCTCACATGGGGGCCAGCCTCTCTCTCCAAATCCCTTGCTCATTAAGCCTGGTGAGATGCCCCAGGGTGAACATGGTGCCTACATGGCAGGTGGAGCCTGGTCTGAGACCCCAAAAGGGGCCCAGAGCCAAGTCTGTTACTCAGGTTACACTTTTGCCGCCACCCCTCACAGCCCACCAGCTCTGGCTAGTGTCCTGTGAGGGGGGTCAACACTGTGATGGCCACATGAGTTGTACCCTGCCATTGGCTTCACTGTGCTCTGGCTCCTGTGGCTACTCAGCTTACACAAGAGTGCCTACTGCCCAAGACTCAAGTTCTATAGAGGTGCTGGTGGTCAACATTAACTCTTAACCCACTTTGCTGCAATGGTACCATCAGGTGCTTGTCCTGGCAATGTAGTTCAAAGAACAAGCAGGCATGGCCTGCCCATGGTGACCCCCACTCACTGTAGCTCTCCAGACTCCAGAGCCACTGTGGGCAACTAAAGTCTGAGCACCTGTGGGGTGGGCCCGGGCTGTGGCTAGTTTTCTCAGTATGGCCTTGGGATGGGCTGCCGGCACATTCTTGCTGCCCTGTGTTCAGTGGGCCTGGGCCACTCACCGTGGTTTCATCTTCGTGGAGCACCTGGTCGTAGCCGCTGAGCGCGACGCAGAAGATGATGGCCGTGACGTCCTCAAAGCAGTGGATCCACTTCTTGCGTTCAGACCGCTGGCCCCCGACGTCAAACAGCCTGCCGGGAAGAAAGGGACAGTGGTGGGTGGCAGGGGCAGGGGCAATGGGGAAGCCTGGCAGTGAAGTTGGGAGTACACTCTGAGGGGAGGATGAGGGGGACACGTGCTGTATGCTTCCTGAGGGACTGGGCTCCAAGTGCTGATTGGTGGACTCTCTGTATCCATCCTGGCCTGGGGACAGCCCTCACTCTCCTGGGGGTCTCTCCCAAGACCAGCCTACACTCACATGTTGTGACTGCAAGACCTGTCCTGGCAGATGAACAAAGCTACTGAGGGGGTACACCTCGGCTGGCCCCTGGGAAACACGTCTCAGAAATCCACCTTCCAGGACAGGTTCACACTCTGCCCTTCTGCGCACACACCATGAGGATGGGAAAGGGAGACACTGAGAGGCTAGGGATGTGCCCAAGCTCGCAGTGAGGGTCAGCGTGGTGGAACCTGGGCAGAGCCAGCCCTGCGTGCTGACCAGGCCAGTGCTCGCCTCTGCTCTGCTGCACCCTCTCAAGCAGATGGAAGCCTGGGCTCCTCCTTCCAGACTCCACCTCCCAGAGCTTGGGGAAGAGACTGCGGGCAGGCGGGACTTATGAGCTGGAAATACAGGTCAGACGCACACACTCTAAGCCCCTGGGGCAGGGGCCCTGCCACTTGCGGACCCTGGAGAGCCTGCTGGTACAGCACGGTGCCAGCGGGCAAGCCCCTGGCCCTGTGTGGACAGGAGGTCAGCAGAGAACACACTGGCTTAGAGCAAGGAAACAGGCCTGGATCTGGTCCTACCATCACCTCCGGGAATCCTGCCTGCCAGGGGTAAAGGAGTATTAGCCCCTGGCACCCTCTAGAAAATGTGCCAGTTGGGCAGGGTAGAACTTGGTTCCCTCCTTCTGTACTTTTGAGCAGGACAGACTGGGGAGCCTGGGAAGGCAAGGGAGGTACCACACAGGCCACTGGTCCATGGCTGTGTTCCTTAGCTGGGGCTCCTGTGGCCAGTGTGCATGGAGCCCAGAGCTCGGAGCCTCAGCTCTTTAAGCTGCACAGGAGAGGGCAGGGGCTGGCAGGAGTCCTGGTCTCCAGCCATTCCAGGCAGGGCAGGGGGCGGGGGCTTTGTGCCTATCTGCCTATGTAAGGCCCTTGCTCTTCCCTTCTCTCTCGGCCTTTCTTTCTTTCTGCTCCACTTACAGCCAGGAAAAAAACCTGGAAAGTAACATAGGGGCATGAGGGTTACCCCAACTGGGGACCTAAAAGGAGGGTCTGGGGCCTGCAGCACACACTCCTGTTGAGGAACTTAAGAGTTCGGGGTCCAGCTGTGTCCAGGGAAAGCCTTGCTCCTGACCAGGAGTACATGGTCAGCTGTCCCTATGCCCCTTCCAGTTCCAAGCCTATGGGTCACCGAGGTCTCACAGATATTGCTGTGGTGTGTCCAGCTCTCCCCACAAAGGGCCCCTTGGGTGACCCGTCTGCCCTTCCTCCCCAGCCACTGCCCACGCCAGGGGCTACCTCCTCTCCTTCTCTGTCCAGATCCTTTCTGCTACTCACACCCTCAGTAAAGGCCCTGAAACAAGCACCCAAATAGGTGTGCTGGTTCCTAACTGCCCCTTCTGGTGTGCCAGCTCCAAAGGCAGGCGCTCCTAGGCTGGGGCTGCCCCTCTCTCGGCCGCCTCCCTGGGCCTCACCTGAAGTGGAGGTTCTTGAACGTGAAGTGGGTCTCCACGATGCCAGTGGTTTTGACCCTGGTTCGGAGGATGTCCTGCTCGGTGGGCTGGTAGTCGGCGGCCCCAATCCGGTCCAGGCTGTCCAAGTAGCTGGGGATGGCAACACAAAATGGACTATGAGCCCAGCAGCAAGATGGCTTAGGGTTTGCTAGGTGAGCTACTGCCTGAGTCCTGTCTTAAGTCAGGGCCCCTTGTGGGCTGACTGCAGGTCAGTGGTGGTGATGGTGATGCAAGAAGGTAGGGGTGACTGATGAAGAGGATGGTATGATCCTGACTTCTCATTCTCAAAATATCTCAGAATTAGACCCCATGCTCTCAGTTTCAGGCACACTGGACAAGGTCAATTTCAAGTAAGACCACCATGTTTATAACTATACTGCCTCAACACTTTCTCATTTGAAAAAATCTAAGGGGTGGGCATCTGGCATGGCAGTAAAGATACCAGCATGCCTGGGCTTGTGTCCCAACTCTGCTCCCTGGTCCAGCTTCCTGTTCATCCAGGCAGCAGGTCATGGCAATCAGCTGGACACCTGCTGCTCACACAGGAGATCTGCTGGACCGAGTTTCCGGCTCTTAGCCCTGGCCTGAGTCCGCCCCAGCTGCGGTGGGCATTTGGAGAGTGAACCAGTGGGTGGAAGTTCTCTGTCACTCTGCCTCTCAGAACAGGTGACAGGTAAGCTGTGTGACTTGGGTTCTACCCTTTGTTTCCTCGAGGCAAATATACTGTTTTTATAACTAGGAAGTAGGGATGGTTCTTCAGGAGGGGCGGCCTGTGCTCAGTGCTGCACGCTGGCCAGCTGCCCCCAACGTCCCTGGCTATTTTCGTATTTCCTGTCTACGGAGGGCCTGTGCACCTTCCCATGGGATATGCTATGAGGGGCTCGTTAGGACTCAGGTCTTAGGAATCAGGCTGTTCCCCTGAGACTCTCATGAGCCTGGCCATGCCCTCTGTGGTGGTGCTGCAGAATAGCCGTGTGAGTTGCAGCTGCCCCACCGTCTTCCCACTAGGCTGTGAGTGCCTGGGCAAGCTTCGCTCTCAGCCTCTGCTACGCTGGTCCTTGAGAGGATGACCTTGCTGTCATCTCCAGCTGAGCATCAGGCCTGGGCAGTCACTGCTCTTGCCCCTCCTACTTCAACTGGACAAATCTCCTTCAGATAAGGAGTTCAGATCTGGTCTCACACCATGCTGGCCAAGCCTCACAAAGGGAGATAGCCACGGACAGGGAGCCAAGATTAAGAGCTATATGAAGTACTCCAGGTGGCAAAGTTGGATCCCTACTTCTCTGGAGGCTGGGGATGGGACAATGGGGAAGACCAAGCCCCATATGGCTCCTACCTTCCCAGGGCCTACCTACCCTACAGTGGGAGGGCCTGTGCCTATGTGCATGCATGTGACATGAACAGGGAGGAGGCATGACAGCGTGGCAGAGGAAAGAACTGGATGACTGCGCCAGGGCCTGTTGTCTAATACAGAACATTTAAAGAAGGTTTCTCAGATGCCTATGGAGAGGCAGACAGCGGTGAATGGTGAGTGGCCCAGTAGAGGGAGCCATGCCAGGAGTGGAGGAGCAGCTGGCTGGCAGGTTGAAGGGCGGCCAGGCTGGGGAATGGGGAGGCAGGAAGCACATGTGGTGGGGCAGGCAGGGGTGAGACCTGGCTGAGCTGGAGTCAGGTGGCAGAGGTGAAGATGGCAGGCATCAGGGGTGGGCGCAGGCCCTTGAGGTTATTGCAAGGACTAGGCTGATGTGGGAGCGCAAGGGAGGCTGTCTGGCAGAGATGGTTCAGCGAGGAGGCAGCTGCCAGCCTGCATGAGGGAGGGGATGGCAGCAGACACGGTGGCAGCTGCGGAGGGAATGGGAAGTGGTGACAATGATGCAGGTCTTTGCAAAGGGAGCTTGGAGGTGAGAAATGAGAGGAAGAGGAGAGGTAAGCACACTTCCAGGGCTAGAATGAAGGGGAGGGTAGGAAGCAGGTATTCCACCGGCATATGGTGTTTTGGGTGAATTCAGATGTCCAAACGAGCAGATTGAAGTCAGGACAGGAGGGAGTGTAGGGCTGGTACAGGCAATGTGAGAGCTACAGCTTGGGCCCCTGGGGGAAATGGGCAGGAACAGTGGGCACTCTGAGACGGTATCAGGTGCAAAGGCTGAGGCTAGGCAGGAAAGTGTAAGGCAGAAGGCCTAGAGCCTGAGCAGGCACACACAAGAGGCAGAGATGTACAACTGGCTAGGGGTCTACAAGAAGAGGAGGAGGAGGAGTCTGTCCAGAGAGGTGCAGCAGACAGGGCGAGGGGAGAAGTGTGGCTAGTAAGCAAGAACAATTCAGCGGGAAGCTGGACTCAGGAAAATCATGAAATTGCCCTGTACAGCCCCTGATGGACTCTGCTCTGCATCCCTGGGTCTGGTTATTACGGGAGCACGAGCTGGTCACATTTACTGAGGCCTCAGGTGCACCGAGAGGCAGTCTGCACCCCAGCTAGACCAGGCCTTGTCCCCCTCTCCTCTGAGCCCTGGTCTCTCACCTAGCAAGGCCCAGCATTGGGACGAAGGTGAGTGGGCTTTACGAGGTACACAGTGCCCCCGCAAGTGTGTGATGTGACAGCATTGCCAGGCACTACCTACCTCCTTTAAAAAAAAAGATTTATTTTTATTGCAAAGTCAGATATACAGAGAGGAAGATCCTGCCTGCTGATTCATTCCCCAAATGACTGCAACAGCCAGAGCTACACCGATCTGAAGCCAGGAGCCAGGAATTTCCTCCAGGTTTCCCACGTGGGTGCAGGATCCCAAGGCTTTGGGCCATCCTCGACTGCTTTCCCAGGCCACAAGCAGGGACTGGATGGGAAGCGGGGTGACCATGACTAAGACCAGTGCCCATATGGAATCCCGACGCATCTAAGGTGAGCACCTCAGCTTACCGCATCGGGCCCACCATCTCCCTTCTATCCCAGCACTGGACTGTATTTAAGACCCTCCGGACAGAGCCAGCACTGTAGGCAGCAAATTGGACTGCTGCTGCGGTACTAGCATTCCATGTTATAACTCCTTCAGTTCTGACCCTTCTCCATGTTGATGTCTGGGAAAGTGGTGGACCACAGTCTAAGTGTTGAAGTGCCTGCTGGCCATGCAGGGGACTGGATGAAGTTCTGGCCAAGCCTTGGCTATTGCAGCCCTCTGGGACATGACTCTCCTCTCTCTCTGGTTCTCTTCATTCTTTCCTTACACCATTCACATACATCAGTAAGTCTTAGAAAAATGTTTTTTCTGGCCCTGGCTGTTGGGGCATCCCCACTTTCTTACCATGGACCCCTCTCTTGGAGGCTGGACACTGAAGACCTAACTGTGGAAAGCCAGAGTAAGCCTGCCTAAACCTGGGCAGTGCAGCAAATGGAAGGGAGCTGAGATGAGATAAGTTGGTACATTTCCTCGGCTTCCTTGGTGGAGAGTTGACAAACACCAGCTCAAGTTCCTTTACTGAAAGTTATGGTAACCAGAACTAAAAATAATCCTGCAATCAGCAACGAGCTGGAGGAGGAGGAGAGGGGGGAAGGGTAAAGGTGAAGGAGGAGGGAAAGAGGGGTGAAAAAAGAGGTGGAGGGGAAAGGGGTAGAAGGGCTGGCGGTGGAAGAGGAGGAGGAGAGGCGTGGAAAGGGAGGGAGATGAGAAGGGTGGAAGGGGAGGTGGAGAGTGAGAATGGGAGTGAAGGCTGGCGGGAAGGGAGTTGGGGCGGAAGGGAAAAGGAGGAGGAGAAGCGCGGAGGGGAGGCAGAAAGGGAGAATGGGTGTGAGGGTTGGAGGGGGAGAGGTAGCCGGAAAGGGCAGAGCGATGGAAGGGCTAGCGGGGAGTGGGGCGGGGAGAGGAAGAGGGGTGGCAGGCCTGCAGCTGAGCTGGACTCCTCAGGGGCTGGGAGCACTCTGCACAGCTGTAGCGTCCCTGACTCTGGACACCACTGGGACAAGTCAGAGGGAGCAGTTCCAGTAGGAGGGGACAGGACTTGGAAGGGCAGGAGACCACTTTTTGTTTTATACTTTTTGCTATTAACTTTTTCTTTTTGGCAACAGATGCATTTTATGATGAATGAAATAGGTCAAACCTTAAGTGGAGAATGCCATTTGATGAGTCACCAGAATACAGACTCAGGCCAGCTGGCTCTGAGGGACCCTGCGGCTCCTGCTGGCTGTGGGGAAGGAGGCTTAGGACTTGGGCCTGGCAGACAGGGAAGGAAGGAGGGAGCAGCCAGCCCGGCCACCATCCAGTGGTCTTGGTTAGAAAACCAGCCAGCCAGAAGTCATTCCCTCCTGGCTTGGTGTGGGCTTGTAATAGAAGGACATGCAGGGAGCTGCCCCATAAAGCCTCTGGCCTCATCCCTCCAATATATTCCTAGGGGGTTGGGGGGCCCTGGGTGGCCACCAGCTGAGGTTCCCAGGCCTTACTTGGGCCTTGACAAGCCAGGTGTGTAGAAGTGGGAAAGCGCTCCTGGCCTGCTTCTAGTCTGGGTTTTTTGGCCACCACTGTGGCCACTGCAAAGGTCTGCCTGTCTGGCAGGGAGTACTGTCGTGTTCAATGACCTTAGACTCTGCCATGTTGGCACAGTGCAGATTTGGGTGTATTACTCCCCAAACTATCAGTGGTTTGGCCAGGAGAACTTTTTGTTGTGAGGATGACCCTGAGCATTGTAAGATACTGAGTAGCCAGCCAGAATGACCAGCCTAGTCATTACATTAAAAAAGGTCTCCACCTGAGGACAATGGCCCCGGGGACAGAATGGCTGGACTGAGATGTGATGGTGTGAATAGGGAACATGTATCTATCCTCTGAGAGTGGGCTTGAGCTGGGGCGGGGGGCGGGTGCTAGCTGACCACTTCCACAGAAGGCCTCTGGGACCCACACTGCCAAAGTGGGCTGGTTCAGGAAAGCTAAGGTGCCAACCCTGCATCCCCACTCCTGGCACATCCATCTTCCCAGGGCTCTTTAGTCTCAAGGCCAAGAATCCAGGGAAGACATCCTTGAAGGAAACCATCTACATGATGAAGGTCAGGAGAGGCAGGTGACCCCAGTGTCCTGGAGCCTGCAGCATGTTCCTTGCTGGTGCCCTTTCTGCCCCTTCTCACTGCACTGGCTTTTCCCACTTCCCATTTCTCTACTTTCCTCATTTTCAATGTTAAACATAGAGAAATGGAAAGCCTTATGATTTCCTCTAAAATAAAGCAAAATAGCAGCATTTAAGTAATTTTCTGCCTGTGTAGCTCCCGATTGTGTTTATGGAGCCAGAAGGTCTCTAGCAAAAGCAACGACAACAACAAACCATGCTGCTGCACTCGGCTCTGTCCAGGTCTGGGCCCTCTCCTGTTTGCCTGTCCCTTGTCCCTTTTCTCCTCTGCCTTCCCTGGCCTCACTCTCAGCCTTTCTCCTTCCTCTGACACCAGCACCTGTGGAAAAAATGCCTCCCAGCAGGTGTGGCCTTGGCTGGCCTCTTAGTCTCCTGATGCCCCAGCACCCAACCTCTCTCTGTTCCCCAGGTTCTCCTGGTCCAGCACACTCACTATTTGGCAGAATCATTGAGCTGATATTCCCGAGACCGGTTGAAGCACTCCTGGATCCCTGAGTCGCCCCAGAGTCGCATCATGGCGGAGAGCAGTTCTGCAGAGAAGGGCTCGGTGTCTTCCATCCGACTCACCACGTCGCACACCATCTTGGCATCGGCCTATGAGGAGAGAGAGAGAATGCTTGGAGGTCTGGGTGGTGACAGGTGAGCCCTGGCCAGCCAAGGGCTCCATGTGGCTGGGACTAGGGGCTGGGTTTGTGACAAAGCCCCCGCCAGTGTGGAAGCCAGCTCTGGAGAATACCCAGGTCCTCTCTGGTCTCACAACAGTGCAGTGGCCTTGGACCATGCCCCACCGAATCTGGGGGTCTATATAAGCAGGAACCAAGACCGACTGGCTTGCACCTCCACTCTCCCGCTCAGCCACCATGGTTTGACATTTACCTGCATGGCTAACTCAGGTTCTGCATGCTATTTCCATTTGAGGGAAATTTAAAATGTCCTTGGCTAGAATTTTCATTTCCTCTACTTTTTAACCCAAGGTGAAGCAAAATTCCTGGTTCTGGTCTACATCAGGGGGAAAGAGGAGGCTTTTGATTATTTGAAAACTCCAGGTAACAGAGAGTGAGGGTCACAGCGGAGCGATACCATAGGATAGGGAGACTGGCAGGGGTGGCTGCCATGTTAGTGTACATGGTGAAAATTCCTCAGGTCAACTGTCAATGTCAAAGGGCTGGTGTTTGGTGTTATCAGGTTAATCTGCCACTTGAGATACCTGCATACATAATGGCAGTGCCTGGCTTGAGGTCGGCCTCTGCTTCCCGGCCGGCCTCCTGCTAATGTGCACCCTGAGATGAGGCAGATGATGATGTAACTTGTTGCACCCCTGTCACCTATGTGGGAGATCCAGACTGGGTTGCTGGCTCCTAACTTCTCCCTGGTTCAGCTCTGGCTATTGGGGGCATTTGAGGAGTGTGTCAGTGGATGGAGGATCTCTCTCTCTCTCTGTTGCTCTACCTTTTAGAACAGTAATAATGGCTACATGGTGCCAGGATATCCTTTATTCCAAGCCTTTAAAAGATATATTCAACCTCAAGATTGTAGGCCACCAAAGCTAAAACTTTATTTTATCAACAGTGACCTGTGACCTGCTGTTCTCTGGGGGCTGGAGAAGCTACATCTTGGTTAAGGAAGGGCAGGGCTGGAGTGGGTAAGAAGAGGGTGCAGTGGGAGTCCCGAGGGCACAGAGCGCACACACATATACAGTCACTGAAGGCCCTGGGGCACACAAAAAGTGCTGTATAATTTACAGGTTTCTTTTCCCTTCCCCTCACTCGGGCTCCACATGGGGACCACTCATTTCCAGAGATCACAAGTGAACCCACTGACCTGCAGTGGTCTTCTGGAGACTCACTCGGGTCCTGGGAAGTCACAAAGCTGCCATTGCTGCCACACACACACAGCACTCTAAGAGTTACCTTCATGACTGCCTCAGAAGGCAGCTGGCAGCTGCAGCAGCATGCCCAATCCCTCTGCCCTCTCTGAATCCTTGTAGGTCTGGCCTTGGAGGCAGAGGAGAGTTCTGCCCCCTGGACCTGGAGGAGGGTCACAGGTCTTGCTTTGACCCATGGAATGGTTGGGGGGGGGGTAGCAAGGTATCCCTAAAGTGGCCCTGTGTGCTTCCCATGTCCCCTGGACTTCCACTGTCACTGTAAATCTGCCCAGTCACTCCTGTTCCCCTCAGGAACTGGAGATGGGGTACATGGTATAAAGCTGAGCCCAGCCAGGATCTCTGACGAAGTGACTGTTGTATCGACGGGTCATGTCGAGTGCATCATCTGCACTTGATAGGTGGGGAAATAGTGCCGCAGGAGGGAGGGTATTCAGTGAAGGTGATGGGTGAGAGTGGCAGAGCTGGCATCCCAGACACCCGCCTCTGACTGCACGGCCAGCCTCTGTGGGCAGAGTCATGCATGCTGAGAGCAGTCCCTGTCTGCTGCACCTCTGGTGCAAGCCATATCTGACCAAAGGGCTGTGGCTGGGGAGCAGCAGGCTCACCACCTCCCTGGCCTCACAGACCCCTGAAACTATGGTATTTTATTTCATGCTCTGGGGGTGCAATAATTATTACTGGATGATTAGCCTACCCCAAGTCCTTTCCACCCCTGACCCTCCAATGAAGGCTGAGGAGTGGCAGACTAAGCAGCTCCTGGCAGGTGCTGAACACCACGAAGGGTGTGAAATCAGCCTCTGGTAGGTGAGTGGCCAGCAGTAGCTTCTATGTGAAAGGTGTGGGGGCTAGAAGCTGTTCGCTACAGAATGCTAGTCGGAAAGTTCTGACAGCAGTGCCTCCTGTTTACCAGGGATGACCGAAGTTGCCACTGTCCTGGAGGGTGGCAGGCCACATGCACAGTGCTAACTTAGTTCCAGTTCTCAGGGACAGTGCCTTAAATGCCCAGCCAAGTTACCCCGCTGACAGTGGAGGCTCAAGACTAGGCTGGGTGCACGTCCTGCGGTGGCAGTAACCCGAAGAACAGCCCTGGCCCTGGGCTTTGGGTGCCTCAGGCAGGCAGTGATGACTCGGGCAGGTGGGGGGGGGGAAGGGGGAGGGGCCTGAGTGGGGGGAAGGCTACACCTGGGGCTAGAAATAGAGTGAGGCCTCTGGGTCAGGGCGTTGTAGCCCACCCTGATCCACTCTGCTCCTGTCCCGGCTCCAACATCTGGCCAGAGTTTCCCAAACACCCTCCTGGGGTTCCACACTCACAGCTCCTGTTGGAAGGGAGGCCAGACTGCTCCTGGGGTGTGAGAAATATACTCCCATTTGAGTACTTCAGAGCCACATTACACTCTACGTTTCAGGGGGCGGGGATGACCCTTCTAAGGTAGGATTCACAAACTGTAGACCCAACAGCAAAGCTGCTCCTCCAGGAGTGACCTGGAATTGCTGTGTTCCACGTTGGGGGGCACTGGATGCTCCAGTGCACAGCCTGTACCTGCTTTATCTCCTCACTGCTGGGTGCTGCGGTGGGGGTGGCATAGGGTTCTGTGTGCCAGCGCCCCTCCCCTTCCTGTTTGCTTTCCTAGCTTTCCTAGCTCATGGGCCTGGGCATCATCAGGTGCCAAGCTTCCCAGCCCCAGGAACCCTGCCTGACTGTGCCAGCCCTGCTGCCTCCCAAGCCCAGGGTGCTGCTGCCTCCGCCCTGTTTCCTGCCAGGCCAGAGGCTGCTGGCATCTGTTCTCCCCTTCTCTTTCAGGACAACAAAGCCACAACCTCCATGGATCATCCAAGGGCTACGTATTCTTGTGTAGCCTGCAGTGTGCCTGTGTGAAGGGTTCTGCATGGTAAGCTGTAAGTCCTGCAGCCTTTCTGGGGGTTTTAGATCACAGACTGAGTTGCTTGGATCTGGTCTCCAATCCAGGATCCCAACTGGAGCAAGGGCCTCAACCTTTCTGAAGCTCAGGGTCCTCACCTGCTAATTCATGGTCATTTTCATCATAGAGCTGTCATGAGCAAATAGAGCCCTGAATACAGGCATGACACCCCAGGGTGGGCTGTGCTGGGGACCAGCCAGTAAACAGGTGCACCCTGCCTCCATCTTTGTGAAGATTAGAGGCAGGACCATGTACTTGTCAATGTCAACAGCAGGTGAGATGCTATGTTTATGGGTTTAAGATCAGGAGACTGGGAGAGGTTGTGCTTTTTCAAGATTGTCAAAGGATTCTTCCTGCATTGAGGGTGGGAAAGAAGCACTAATTTGTGTTGTAGGCAACACAGCCTTTCTGGCTAAGTGATATCTTTCTCATAATGTTAACACACAAATGGCCCATAGTGACTTTAGGCGAGATACTCGAGGGGAGTCCCAGGACTCTGAAGAGCCTCAAGCAACAGGAGGAAGGGGTGGACAGAGAAGTGGGTAATACAGAAACAGGACCTAGGGGTCAGCTCCAATGTCTGCAGGGTACTGGCTGTGACATAAGGAGCACCACCCCCAGAAGGGAGGCATAGGGCAGCCTGGGATTGGGTAGGGTGATGCCTCTGAACTGGCAGCCAGCAGGGCCCTCCTGCCACAAGGATATGCTGCAGGGACCAGCATATCCACACACTGAGAATGTGTGGGGAAAGCAGCACAAGAGCCAGATGACCAGTGATGGGACAGCCTGCTAGCAGCCAGAGAGATGTCTCCAGGCAGCAGGCCAGTCCCTGGCTCTAGCACTGGCACCAATGCAATGAGGGGTGTAGGCTGCCATGGCCATGTGGTGCCACCTGCCTGGTTGCAGACAGGTTTCCTGTACCAACATCTGCAACATTGGTATTTCAGAGCTGAAGCTGATGCCAGTCCATGCTGTGGGACATCCTGGAGGATGGTGGCCAAAGAAGTCAGCATCAGTTCATCTAAGCCAGTGGAAAAGAGCACAATGTTTTCCATGGCTATGCCAGATTCAGCTGGGACCTAGCAGTGCCTAGATGTGTCTGCTGGGTCAAGACGGGAGGTTCAGTGGCATGTTTAGTCTTTGAGACTGCTGCCTTCTCATGGCAGCACAGACTTCTCAGTAAACATCAGTGGCCAAGTAGTGTTCCACTGTAACAAAAGGCCTAGACTTGTCTTTTCAACGGATTAGATGCAAAGGCTGAGTGGGGAAACCAATGGGGATTTTCCATTAGAGCCCCAGGGTCAGATCCTGGCTCTGCACCTGTTCAGCTGTATGCCCATGATAGACCACTTCACCTTCCCCAGCCTCTGTCCTCCCATGAGCTCCTGGCACAAGGCTGTTTGTGCTGATCAAATGGGCTGAGGTGGTGACACAGCTCCGCAACGCGGATGAGCTCTGCAAACGTCTGTGATTATAAGCAAAGATGAAGTGCCTCAGATGCAAACAACAGCTGACTCCCAAGGCAAGCACGTAGTTTTGATAACAATAATCACAGTAATTATCATAATAACCCCTTCCCACTGAAGAGCTGCTTTGCATCCTTCAGAATTTGCCTCCATCTAATCTTCTGGGCTAAGTGAAGGGTGAACTGGTACACACACACACACACACACATACACACACGGATGCACACACATGCACACAAGCTTTCCAGGTGCTGGGAGAAAAGCTTGATCGGCCCCACCCTGCTTTGTATGCCGCTGTTGTCCCTGCATCCACCAGGGGGCAGG